GGGTTGCTCCCTGGCTGGCCAGGGATCGAACTGGTGCTGCAGAGGCTGCATATTGCTTCACAGTGTGGTGCTTAACCCCTTGTGCCGCCAGGGAGGCACAAGGAACTGTTTTTCTTGACAGCCTTAAAAAGCTTGAAATTAATGTTGAAGATAGGAGTCCTGTCACAGAACAGAGAGATACTTTGGATACACTGTTATCTATTGGGTGCCCATTAACAGGGTGTTTGAACTGCTGGCAAAGAAATGACTTGGTGAACTACAATTTGCTGCTATGCCCAATGCAGTCAAAGTTAATAGGCAAATAATAATAATAATGCTCATTTAGTCAGCACATACTAGGCACTGCAGTAACCATGTGTACCTTAAATTCTTTCAACAATCCAGTTCCTTAAATTCTTTCAACAATCCAGATGAGAGAACTAAAGCTTAGAGAAGGCAATTTGCTGAGTTAGCCTCACACAACTAGAGTGAAGAACTCTAGTTCTTCACTAGAGGTGAAGAGGTGAATAGATTCACTAGAGGTGAATCTATGCTTCAACCACGTATTACATTATTTATAAATTGAATTTATAAAATGTTATCTCTAAATAGGCTTCTTATGCCTTCAAGTTCAAATGGTTCTAAGTCACATATACCCAGGCTAAATTCAGTGCTTACAACAAAAACATAACTAGACGACTCAATCCAATCATTTGTCTTCCTCACACATACATATATGATAGAATAAATATCAATAAAATTAAAATCGTCGGGGGCCTCCCTGAGGGCGCAGGGGGTTGAGCACAGCGCTGTGAAGCAGTCCGCAGCCTCTGCAGTGTGGGTTCAATCCCCGTATGGCCAGGGAGATACCCACATGGTGCGGCAGACCTCTCCTGTCACACCCGTTGCTCCCCTCAGCAGTGTTCTTGATCCATCTGTCTGTTCTGCTGCCTGCTCTGTCTCTGGTGAATCCTCTCACCCTCCCCCACCTCTGGCCTACACCCCAGTTCTTGTATGCATAAATAAATCTTTTTTAAAAAATAAAATAAAATTAGAATCATCAATTCTTTTCCTTAGTAAATATTTTGAATTTTTCCCCTGTGGACCAGTTTCCTCTGACCTCTTGAAATTTTTGGCTATTAAGGGAGTCAAACACTAACTATAGAAGCGCACACATATCTAAATATCTTGCACACTGTAATTATCTCTGAAGCAACAAGCCCAGTGCTATGAGAGAATTACCAGGAAAACCAATATTGATTGGAGGTCAGGACAGGCCCTTCAGGGAAGCCATTTGTAATCTGAAACTTGAAGGAGGCACAGGAAGTAGTTAGACTGACAGAAAGGGGAGAAAGGTGTTCCAGGCAGAGGATGTACTTATTGCCAAGAAGAAAGCGTGACTCTTTCCAGACCAGTGATCCCTGAGTTTGGAGCCCAGGAAGAAGATAGGAAATGAGGCTGAAAGAAAGACAATAGGACTTCAGGATTTTGGATTCTACCTTAAGTGCAATGAAAACCCATTAAGAAATTTTCAACAGTGTAGTCTGAGAATCTTACCTGTTATTTTTAAAAGTTCTATTTGACATGGAGTGCAGAATGGATGTTAGGATGTCAGGGGTGAAAGAGAGTGGACAGTTAGCAAGTTTTCCTTACAGTCATCTATCTGGGCAAAAGGACTGTAGTGGCTTGGACTAAAGTGGTAACAGGAACATGGAGCAAAGTGCACAGTTTGTATATACATTTAGCAGAGTATAAGATTTGGTGATGAATTTGGTAAGGGAGAGGATATGGAAGGAGTGACATAAGACTCAGGTGTCTAAACTCAGCCTCTGGGTGGATGGAGGTATAGAATAGCTAGAAGAGTAAAAGAGCAAATAGTGAATACTCTCTGGTGGAAGATAATTTCTATATCTCTTACATTTTCTAAGTACGCAGTGTTATACCTAAAACAAAAGGTTGTTAAATATGTAAGAAGGCAGAGGACCAGGATTTATTAAGTAAGAAATAAAAAAGACAAAAGCAGCAGGCCACAAAAAATATTAATATTGAAGCACTCAGATTTTAAAAATAATATTAATCTGTTAAAGTGTGCACTAAATAAAAAAAATTGGAAAAATTAAATAGAATCTCTTAAAAGAGATTAAGATGGATATTTTAGTATGGAAAAATATCTGAAATTGAGATTTAAGTAGAAACGAGAATGAGTGAATTCTGTTGTTTTTTTTTTATTTAAAGATTTATCCATTCATGCATACAAGAACTGGGGTACAGGCCAGAGTTGTGAGGGGTGAGATGATTCACCAGAGACAGAGTAGGGAACAGAACAGGCAGACAGACTGAAATACACTGCTGAGGGGAGCAGCGGGTGAGTCAGGAGAGGTCTGCAGCACCATGTGGGTAGCTCCCTGGCCAGGGATCGAACTCATGCTACAGTGGCTGCGGACAGCTTCATAGGTTGCGTCTTAACCTTTTGCACCACCAGCGAGGTCTGAATGAGTGAATTCGAAGTCAGGATGACAAAGAACGAAAAAGCTAAAGCACAAGAAAAAACAACTAAAGATAACAGAGAAATAGGGGACATAGTTAAAGCTCAAATATATAGAGGTGATTGGGGTGGAAGAAAAAGAGAGCAAGAACAAGGTAGAAGTAATAGTTGAAAAATAATGGCTGGGAGTTTTCAAAAATGATAAAACGATATCAAAGAAGTCAAGAAGCTCAGCAAATTCAAAACAGGATGAATATATGAGATACACACAGTAGTAATACAAAACACATAAGTTTTACAGAGAGAGATGAAACTACTGAAAGCAAGACCAACAGAGAATGTTTTAACCAGATAAAAAGCCACACACATTACTTAGAAAGAAGCCACACTAAGATTTGACGTTTTAACAAAACCTGCTATACAGAAGACAATGGATAGTATAAAAGCATTATCAAGATAAGTTAAACTCTAAATATAAATAGCTGCATTTATGATAGATTGGAAGACTTATTGTTGTTACCATATAAATTCTCCCTAAGCTTTTCTATATAATAAGTACAATATCAATCAAAATCCCATCAGGTTTCTTTGACAGAAAATGACAAATCCAATTTAAAGTACATATGGAAATACAAAGGAAAAAAACAGCCCCAGCAATTTTAAAGAACAAGAATAACAAACCTGGACATGAAAGCCAATAGTTATTGTCTGTTTGTAAGGCTACAATCATTAAGACAATGTGGTCTTGGTGTAAAGGCAATATACAAATTGAAGAGAATAGTGAACCCAGAAAGAGTCACCTGTTTGGTTTTTTTTTTAAAGATTTTTTTTTATTTATTTATACAAGAACTGGGATACAGGCCAGAGGTGTAGGGGGTGAGAGTATTCACCAGAGACAGAGTAGGGAGAACAGACAGACTGACTGAAATACACTGCTGAGGGGAGCAGCGGGCGACTTAGGAGAGGTCTGCTGCGCCATCTGGGTAGCCCTGGCCGGGGATCGAAATTGTGCTGCAGCTGCTGCAGAAAGCTTCATAAGTTGCCCCTTAACCCCTTGCATCACCAGGGATGCCCCCATTTGTTTTTTTTTTAAGTGCCATTGAATTCAGTGGGTTAGAAAAAGTCCTATCAATAGATATAAATGTGGGTCAGCTGGGAAATCATATTAAAAAATGAAACAAGCTTTAATAAAATTATTTGGAAATGGATCATGGGCATGTGAGAATATCTCTATGACTTTGTAGAGGCAATAAATAAATGAATAAGCAAAGACTACAGACGAAAAAATACTTGCAGTACATATATCTGAAAGTGTATCAAATCCAGGCTACATAAAAGCTTCTTTAAAATTAATGAGAAAAAGACAATTCTTCCTCCTAGTGGATAAAAAACTAGAAGACACTTCACCTAATAAGATATCCAAATGGCCAGGAAGCAGGTAAAGAGTGAACACTAACTATCAAGAAAATACAAATTCAAAATCACAATAAGAAATTAATACAGTCTCACCAGAATGTCTGAAATTTAAAAAGACTGATGATACTATGTCTTGGTTTTAAAGTAGAACTACTGGAAATCTCATGCATTGCTGGTTGAGGTGTAAATTTATCGACTTTGGAAAACTTTGTGGCAGTAGCTAGGAAAACCAGATGGACTGATATCCTATGACTGCGCAACTCCATTTCTGGATGTATTTCCTACAGGAGTGATTGCGAACCTTGATCAGAAGAAATGCAAAGGAATGTTCATAGCTGTTTTCAAGAATAACCTCAAAATGGAAAGCTAAGGGTAAACTGGGATAGGCCTGCAATTGAATACTAAGTTTGTAGGAGTGTTTGTCTCTGTCCCTCTACTGCTGCTGTTGCTAAGGAATAATCAAGATTCGTTCCTGAGCACTAGGGGGAAAGGAAGTGGAGTTCGCCAAGGGGTGGAAAAGAACTATCTCCCCATTCTGAAGCCCAGATACACTATCAGACAAAAAAAAAAAAAAAAAACCCACACCAAAACTAGGGCTAGAAAAGGTAATGATTTTTACAAAAGGTAATGTTCAATAGAAAATAATACGTGTTTCTATTAAACAACATACTGTGCAGCAGTTAACTATGGAAAACATTTTTTAGTTTTCAGGTGTAACACTTAAAAGTGAGCCAGATCATAAAAGACTGTTCCCAAGTAGTCACGTAGACATTTGTCTTCCAAACAGATAGAACTAATTAATTCAGATGAAGTTTTTCTTCAGAAATGTTTGCGTCATCAAGGCCAAGATTCCAGAGTTGAGACGCGGAAATTAACCCGTGCGGAGCCACCACCATTAAGCGTCGCCATCCGCAAGGACCTAGTGGCAACCCTAGTGGCAACCTAGTGGCAACCTGGTGCCCGACTCCTGGCGCCCCCGGCCGTCCGGGCGCGGCGGGCGGCGGGATCGCCAGCCCCACGGCCAGTCTCCTCCGCCGCGGCCCCGAGCCGCAGCCGCCCGACTCCCGGGGCCTCGACGCGAGGCCCCGCCCCTCGGCGTGCCGCCGCCCGCCGGGCCGCCGCGTCCCCATGGAAACGGCCTCAGTCCTGCGCGGCCCGGACCGCGATGGCGGCAGGGGAGCCGGGGGATCTAGGCGGCTACTACTTCAGGTTCCTGCCTCAGAGACCCTTCCAGTCTCTGAGCAGCAAGGAGACCCGCAGCCGGCTCCGCCAGTGGTGAGGGGCCGCGGGCGGGAATGGCGCCCAGGGCCTGGGCGGCTGCGGAGGCGCCTCCGGGCGGGCACGGGGCGTCGGGGAGGCCGGGCCGCTCGGGGTGGAGCCCCGGGGCCTAGTCCGCGCCGGACCCGGTAGCCTGTGCGCCCGCGGGGTGCCGGCCCCAGCTGACTGCTTCCTCCTGTTCCTCAGGTCCATGCTGGGCAGAATCCAGGCACAGGCCTTCGGGTTTGACGAGACGTTTCAGACCTATCGGAAGGATGATTTTGTGATGGTTGGTATGAGGGCGGAGAGTACCCAGGGCCTCTGCTGCCTTTAAGTTTTCCTAGATTCATGTGAACGCGCCATTCCTTAATGACGTCGTTTTCTTTGGCGTGTAAGAATCATAAAAGGTACAATGAGAATTTTTTTCAATTAAGGTAACGTTCGTTTACAACTCTGTTTGATTTAGGGGTACAGCACAGCTTCACACCTCTTCAAATGTATGTTACCACAACATGCCCACTACGAAAGTACCACTAACCCTCCGCCACAGGCGAACAACAGATTTTGAAAAGCATTTTTCCTTGTTTCATCGCATCGTGATAAATGTGTTTTTTGTTTAGCTCATTTTCAGTGCCCTGCCTGACAGAATCTTCTCATTTTGGACGGTCACTCCAAATCCGTCTTTTTTTTTTTTTTGAAGTAGCACACCTCATTTTTTAATATTACCCGGCTTTATTTACTAGAGTTAGTTCCAGCTTATTTTTGGTTGTTTTCAAAATCAAATCTGCTTTGTGAGAACCGGCTCTAACAACAGTTCCAAAGGAAAAAATTCCAAAACAAGTTTTAAGAATTATAACACATAAGTTTTTAGCCACTGGAGGTAACTGTTTTGTAAACCGAAAAACTCACTTGAAATACAAGTGCTGGTGTGTTCATTGAAATTTAGTCACTTTATTTTAAGTCCTGGTGTGTTTTTATTTTTTTCCTCCTTAATCATATGGAAAACTCTTCTTGTCTGTGATACAATCTTTACCTTTCTTGTGCCTCAGGCATTGACTTTAGTGTATAGTTGGCAGTTTATTTATTCACTCTTTCCCAAACATTTCCTGAGGGGCCCACCATGTACTCAGAATTTTGTCAAGTGTTGGGTATACTAGGGAGAACAAGCCAGACAGGAACCTGGCTTTCAAGGTTCCTGTTTCATGGGTCTTCCAGGCCCATGGCAAGACTGCCAATAAAATAAATCAGATCATTTCATCTAGTGCTAAGTTCAGTGAAGGAAGGAAGAGGGAATGAACAAGGAGGAGCAGTAGGATTATCAGGGTTTTCTTAACATTATTAATACACCAAAATATTTACCATGAGGATACACTTGTTTCTCAGGGCTACTGTAGCCAAGTACCACAACCAGGGTGACTTCCAACATCAGTTTTAAGTTCTGAGGTGGCAAGTCTGAAATCGAGGTGAGCAGGACTCTTGTTCGCTGAGGCCTGTGGAGGAGAATGCTCCTTACTGCTTCCTACCTTCTGGTGGGCTGCCAGTAGTCCTTGGCATCCCTTGGCTGGCCATTGCAGAAACCCCTTGCCACAGTCACAGAGCCTCTACCCTCATTTGTCTATGTTTTCTCTCTTTTGAGAACCCCAGTCTTAGGGAATTAAGGGCCCACTTTTCTTCAAGAAAACCTCATCTTAACTAGTACATCTGTGACCACTCTGTTTCCAACTCAGGTCATTTTTTTGAGGTTCTAGAAAGGACATGAATTTTAGGGAGATACTAATTCTAAACAGAGAGTTAATTGGTTAAATGATAATAATGCTGGGCCTCCCCGGTGGCGCAGCAGTTGAGCGCTGGGTTGCGAAGCTGCCCACAGCCTCTGCAGTGCCAGTTTGATCCCCCGCTGCTCCCAGGTCACCGGAGGAGGGTCCCACATGGCACGCAGTCCTCTCCTGCCGCCCGCTGCTCCCCTCAGCAGTGTACTTCGGTCCTTCTGCCTGCTCTGCTCCCCTCTCTGGCTCTGGTGAATTCTCTCACCCTCCCGCGCTTCTGACTACCCAGTGCTTGTATAAATAAATAAATAAATCTTTTTTTAAAAAAAAAAGATGAAATGCTGCTGATAATGACATTAGTGACATTTCTCAAATATTCGTGGTAGATTTTTTCTTTTTACTCAAACTTCCATGTATATTCTATCAGATTCATAAACTGAACGAAGAACATTGCTTAAGCCAGAATTCCAGATTTTTAATTTTCCCTTCAAAGTAAAAACATTGTTCTAAAAGTTCACTTATGAGGAAGCAAATAGACGGAAGAAGAAAGGAAGCATTCACCCAGCAAACATTTCTTTAGTGCCTACATCTGTACAAATGAACAATTAAAGAGGAAAACACTAAAACTTGCATTGTGAAGAGAAAGAAATGATAGCACACCACATGCACAGGTACTATGATGGCACAAGAAAAAAGTGTTCTTGTCTAAGGTGGTCAGAGGAGGCTCATAGAAGACAGGCCACTTGAGCTAGGTCCTGAAGGGTAAGTAGGATTTTGTTAGGTAGACTTATGTGGGCATAACACTGGATCTCCTAGTGGGATGATATTTCATACTTTTTGTGCTATGCAGAGGAGTTTGGGTGTCATCTAGCTCTGACTGAAGGTAGCTCATGGAGTCACTGAAAGCTTTTCAGCAAGACAGTAAAATTTAAAATAATGAAACTCTCCCTGGCAGAAGTATCAGGGGGGTGGATTGTTAGGACTGAGTCTGGAAGCAGTGAGTCAAAACTGAAAACTTGTCCTCCAGACAATATGTAGTAAAGTCCTCAAAGGCCTGCAGAGATGCTTAGAAGAAAGGAGTTCATACAGACTGATAAGATGTGTTTATTTTTTTCTTCTTCTTGGACTGATAAGATGTAGAGAGTAAGGGGTGGGGGGCATGTCTCTGACTTGTTGACCGGAATGGCAGATGATATTAAACACATAGAAGATGCAAAAGAATAAGCAAGGGGACCTCCCTGGTGGAACAGGGATTAAAGTCTCAGCAATATTAAGCTATTGCCAGCCACTATGGCCTGAGTTTTATCCCCGGCCAGGGAGCTACCCACATGGCGCAGCAGACCTCTCCTGTCTCACCTACTGCTCCCCTCAGCAGTGTATTTTAGTAGATCTGCTTGTTCTGCTCCCCACTCTGTCTCTAGTGAATCCTCTCACCCCCCCCCTTTACCTCTGGCTTCCATCCCACTTCTTGTATGCATAAATAAAAATAAATCTTTTAAAAAAAAAAGAATAAACAAGAAAATGGGTCCAATTTTAGGAATAGTATCTTGGAGTCTCATCGTCTGAGCTTACACAGTGTTGGCATCCTTACCATGGGACTACAGATAATGAGGGGATTCTTCCATCTTAACGGGGGAGTTTTACAGAGCTTTCCTGAAAGTCCACATGACACTTCCACACTTCTTATACATCTCATGGCCATACTTCAAATACGAAGATAGGAAAGGCAGACTTTCTTAATTGAGGCAACATTAGTTTACAACACTATAGGTTTCAAGTGCACAATTTCTCACCTCAGCAACTGTATATTCTACCATACCTAAATGTATAGTCACAATCTACTGCTAACCAATTAGTTCCCTCTCCCTATTCTCTCTTCCCTTCTTTCCCTCTGGTAACCGGCATCCTGTAGTCAGAGTCTGTTTGTTTTTGTTCCATCTGTTTACTCCCCACCTCCTTTTACTCTACAAATGAGTAAAATCATATAGTATTTGTTTTTCTCCTCCTGACATTTCACTTAGCATACCCCTCAAGGTCTATTCATCTTGTCACAGATGGCAAGCAAGATTTTATCTTTTTTGTGGCTGAGTAGTGTTCCATTGTGTTTACATACCACATCTTATTCCATTCATTCATCCATTGTCAGACACTGAGTTCACGTCCATACCTTAGTTACTGTAAATAGTGTTGCAATGAACATAGGGGTGCATATGTTTTTTTCAAGTTAGTGTTTTCATGTTCTTTGGATAAATACCCAGAAGTGGGATTACTGGATCATATGGTAGTTTCATTTTTAAATTTTTGAGGGGCCTCCATACTGTTTTTCCATAGTGGTTGCACCAGTTTGCATTATCAAAAACAGTGCCCAAGAGTCCCTTTTTTCCTACATTTTCACCAGTACTTACTGTTTCTTGACTTTTTGATAATAGCCATTCTAACTGGTATCAGATGAAATCTCATTGTGGTTTTGATTTGCATTTCCCTAATGATAAATGATGAAGAGTGTGTTTTCACGTGTTTGTTGACCATCTGTGTGTCTTTAATTAAATGCTTATTTAGATCCTCTGCAGAGAGCAGACTTTTATATGAGCACTTTGTAATCTTTAAGGACGAAGGAGAATTGATAATGGGATCAGAAACCAGCAGCCTACCAGATAGATTTTATAGTCAAGTATCTAACTATATTTCAAGTGTGTGGTATATACTAGACATACATTTTAAACTACATGTTATTTAAAATAACACATTGATTTAGGAATGCCTTTTACACTCACATTTTGTGAAATAAGTTTATTAAAATCTTTACAATCATTTTGACATTGTTATAAGTCATCTGATATTTTTCCAAAGCATATTACCTTTCCTAAAGTTACTTGAGATAGAGAATTCCTTCTTAATGTCTCACTAGAAAGTCTATAATAAACCCAAAATACCCTTTGCATACATTAGGACTATTTTTTTTTAAGTTTATTCTCAAGGTGTGTAATTGTAATTTCAATAACAACCATTTTACTGCTTTATTTGAAGGGTCTTTCTGAAGACTTAATTCTGTTGGCCCAGATCAATTCACTACAGGGTACTTAGCTTACTTCAATTTATAGTGACATATGAAATGTAGTTGTAAGTTGACAACACCCCAGGAATAATTACTAAATCTGAATTAAATTTTCTCTTTTCCTGTTCTTTTAACTTCATATGTTTCTTCAGAATGTACTATCACATAAAATAATTGCACCAACACCCAAATTTAAAAGACAGTAAATTTATAAGGCAACTTTTTTTCCTGAAGAATGGTTTTAGGAAAAACATTTCTTGGTAATTGAGCAAAGTATTTAACTTTATCCTCCACCAGTAGAAACAGGGAATTTATCTTAGAATAATGTAGACATTCACAAATAATTGTTGAATGTATTTGTCTTTACTCCACACACCTGGGTCCTCTTTACCTTTCTCATTAAATGACATTCATTCTGTCTGGGGTTTTTTTGTGCAAAAATTTCAGAAGTCATCTTGTATTCCTTCTCCCTTTGTCCCCTCCTAAAGATCTATTGAATCCATACACTTTTCTTCCTCCCTACTTGTTACCACCTCAAATGATGAGAATTGCAGATACCTGGATTACAGCAGTATCTTGCCTCTAACCAGTATCTTTATAGCCCTTCAATTCATTCTGTACACTGCAGCCAAAGTCGGGAATGGCTCTAAAAAAGTATTACTCTAACCACATTCTTCCTCTTCTTAAATCTATTTAATGTCTTCCTATTACCCTTAGATCAAAATATGGGTCAATCTAGATCAATCTTAGATCAAAATCAGAATTCTTCACTTGACCTATAAGGCCCCATTTAACTCACTAATCTCTCCTGATCATAAGAGCATGGAGGTTTAATTTTGGGTTTTTTTTTTTTAATATGCATCACTTTTTTTCTTATATAGACAATTTTTCTACTCAAAATATTTATGGTTTTCCTTCAGACTTCATACAGCAGATGTTTATTGAGTAACTGTTCTGTGTCAGGGCCTGTTGTAGGCCCTGGGGATATAGCAGTGAGTAAGAAAAACAAGGCCCTACTCTTACGGAGCTATGCTTTATTCTAATGTTTTCTCTTCAATAACTGCATACCATGTAGTATAGAAGTTCTGTATTTTATTCAACGATCGTTGATAGACATTGGAGCTGTTTCAGGTTTTGACACTACAAACGATACTGTAAAAAAATCCCTTATACAGAAACCTCGAAGCCTGATAGTTTCATTTCTGTAGAACAGATACCACATTGGAATGTGTTGGATCATAAGACACACATATTTTTAATGTTCAAGATAATAACTATTTACTTCCTCAAAATATTGTAAAGAGTCGTACGAGTCGTACCTACCAGCAGTTTGTGAGAATGCATGTTTTCTGATATGTTCATTAGAAATTACAGTCCTTTTAAATTTTGTCAGTGTAGTGGATAAACATGGTACCTTGTGGTTTTTATTTTCAGTTCTCTTACTGCTCTTGAAGTTAAGCATCTTACTGTGGGTTTATTGGCTGTTTGTATTTTTTATATAGTATTTGTATCCTTTGCCCTTCTTTAAATCGGGTTGTCAGTGTTTTCTACAATTGGACTTTTTTTTTAACCATTGGAGATGTCAGCCATCCCTTCCCCACCTTATAAATCATATTTGTTGCAAATATTTCTTTCCATCTAGTATTTTTCTTTTCTTTTATTGCTCATCATAATTTCTAATTACCCTGCACTTTTTAAACATACATGTGCTTTGGGGGTAATTTCTACCCTTCAGGAAGTACCTAGTGGAATCCAAAACACTTGCCTCTTTTGCACTCCGAGTGTAAACCTGGAATTAGGTCTACCAATCAGATTTATTGGTGTAGGACTACGTAAGGAGTGAGCAATGTAAGGAGTTGCATACAGAACTCACGTCATCGCCAGAGGTGGAAGCAGAGGTGTCCAGCATTCAGTAGGGCAGTCCTGGCACAGCAGTGGCTTTGGTGAAGGCACAGGGGAGGCTCCTTCAGCACTTGGTGGGGGCAATACAAAGCTGACTGTGTCCTCAGTGGGGCATCTTCTCAGATGATTGTGGATTAGGGCTTACCCTTTAGCCTCATTCTCTCCACCTCCTGAAAATTACATGGAATGCTAGAGATATCTTTGATAAATTCTGATCTTTTCAGCCAGAGTCTGCTGTTGATGGTTGAAACTAAAACTCTTAACTACCTTATTTCCTTTTGCTATATGGAAAACGTTCATGTTTGTGAAGTCAAATTATCACTTTTCTCTGTGCCCCCATGGATAGAATTAAATTATGATTACTTTAGCTTCAGATTTAGTAGTGATTACTAAGACAACTGGGAAAACAGGATTGAAGGAAAACAAAATTTTTAAACTTCATATAAAACCTTCTATTTTTCACTCTAAATCATTATTTTTATGTCCCCAAGATATCTGTACTTGAACATATATTGTTGTTCAACTGTTCCAGTTAGATGATAACATTTCTTTGTCAAAAATTTCTTAATTAGGGCCTCCCTGGTGGCACAAGGGGTTAAGCATTGCACTGTGAAGCAATCCCACAGCCTCTACAGCACGAGTGCGATCTCTGGCCGTCCAGGGAGAAACCCACATAGCGAGGCAGACCTCTCCTGTCTCGCCCACTGCTCCCCTCAGCAGTGTATTTCAGTCAGTCTGCCTGTTCTGTTCCCCACTCTGTCTCTGGTGGATCCTCTCACCCCCTGCATCTCTGACCTGTACCCCAGCTCTTGTATGCATAAATAAATCTTTAAAAAAAAATTCTTAATTAGACATTTTACCAATTTGAAGTGGTCCTTGCCTGATTTGAATTGCAATTTTACGGGAGTTAATTTTAGATGTTAATATTATAGTTTATAATAATGTATCTAATTTATTCCCCTCAAATTTGTATTTTAGGCTTTTTTCAAAGATCCGAATGTTATTCCCAATTTGAAGTTACTTTCAGATTCTCCTGGACAGTGGATTACATTAGGTAAATAAAATTTATTTTCATCTACTCAGTTGACTTTATTGCTGTTACAACAAAAGGTTGCCTCAGAAGTTCTCATTCTTATAATACAAATTGGGGGCCTCCCTGGTGGCCTAGGGGTTAAGACTCAGCGCTATCACTTCTGTGGTCTGAGTTCAATTTCCCGCCAGGGAGCTAACCCACAATGGCCTAACAGACCTCTCCTGTCTCACTCACTGCACCCCTTAGCAGTATATTTCCGTAGATCTGCCTGTTCTGTTCCCCACTCTGTCTCTAATGAATCCTGTCACCTTCCCTGTACCTCTGACCTACACCCTAGTTCTTCTATGCAAAAAATTATATATATATATTTATATACATACACACACACACACACATAAACACAAATTGACAAATAATGTCTCATTTGTTTGATAACATCAAGATCATTTGTGCCAGGCTATCCTGCATCTTTCTCCGAGATGTTGACTCTGCACTTTCTTGGCTTAACACTCAAAGCAGTTCTTCTCTCTCCATTCATTTGGTAAAATTTATTATGCATCTTCCGTGGGCTTTGCCACATGCAGAGAACATTAAGATGCATGAGAGCAAACCTACTCTGTGAACTCAGTGTCATGTCAAAATAAAATATGTGCACCAGTGTGTTATGGATGCTGCCATAGCAATGGGAACAAGAGGAGAAGAGTAGTCACCTGTAGTCAGCAAAAGGATCAGCAAAAGGATCAGTGAAGATGCCACCCCTAGGGGATACTTGAAATCGCAGAACCCTGGCTAGTCTATGTTTTCTCTTAGATACACTTACCTATGATGAAGTTTTATTTATAAACTAGGCACAGTAATATTATCAACAGCAACTAATAGTAAGTAAAATAGAACAATTATAACAGTAGACTATAATAAAAGTTACATGAATATGATCTCCCTCAGAGTTTTTATTGTGTCTAATATTTTCTTTTTTTAAAAGATATATTTTTATTTATTTATGCATACAAGAGCTGAGGTACAGGCCAGAGGTGTTGGGGGGTGAGAAGATTCACCAGAGACAGATGGGAAGCAGAACAGATAGACTGACTGAAATACACTGCTGAGGGGAGCAGCAGGCAAGACAGGAGAAGTCTGCTGCAGCAAGTGTGGGTTAGCTCCTTGGGTAGGGTGGAACTCATGCTGCAGTGGCTGGCAATAGCTTCATAGTGCTGAAAATTTAACCCCTGTGCCACCAGGGAGGCCCTACGTCTAATATTTTCAAATCTTGAGTAACTGAAACCACAGAAGGTAAAAACCAGGGATAATTAAATAATTAAATCGTAGAGGAGAGTGTCTTAAATTCTCAAGAGGAGCACTTTATATAGATAATATTTTCATAGTACTTTGAAATACGGCTAATTTTAAGAAGATTACCCAAACACTCAATAAAACTTATATCTCTTAAATTCAAGTCAAGGAAAAAATCACAGTTAATAGATTATTTTGAAAACAAAAGCATGAACACTGTATATTACATTTTAGCAGAGGCCCTTAACTATAGAAAAATGATTCCATTTAGAAGAATCTGGATAGTAATGTGGATTTGTGCTCAAGAAAATGCAAGTTGATTTCAAATGACATGGGGTTGTTTTCTTAAATTCTTAATTGCATTTTCTTGGAACTCTAGTAGACTTACATACTCAAAAACTTAACATATTAGTCAAGAACAAGATTACAAATAGTTCATGATGCTGTAGACTTTGTAGGTCAGATTTTATTGCTGTTGGCTAAAGGCCACTACAAAATTTATAGAGTGAAATGCTGGTACAGTGTGATCTTCAGACTGCTTACGAAGTTAAACTGTGCAAATATATTTACCAATTTTAAATCTTCAAAAGGAACTAAGCAGAGCCATGTATCACATATTGGTACATACTTCCCAAAATAATACCGTCTCTTTCTAATTTTTAAGAAAGAGAAGTTCTGAAATTCCACATGTGCCTGACAGAACCAATTAGCGGTACTCTGAAAATAGGGTGGAGAGGTAGCATTCCATTTTTGAAGTTTCTAGTAGATTGCTAGTATTTTTTTGTTTGCTAGTTTTTAACCTCCTCTTTCTTGCTTTTCTTCATTTTCCACGTAATCGCTATCTTATCTCTTAATTTTCCTGGGGGCCTTAATAAGCAAAAGAAACAGCTTTTTTAAATGAGAGAAAAAAGACATTCTTCTAGCAAGTGAACTAGTTTTAAACATCGTGACGACAGAACATTATTTCCTACTGGCCATGCTGCCCATGTTGCTGATTGATGGTGCTGTTCCTCCTCTCAACCAGCTTCCTTATCTCCTTCCTACCAACACAGACACTCTGCCCACCCTTTGAGGCTAACATAAAACAAGGCTCCCTATGTGCTCAGCTAAGGGTGTTAGGTACATTCCCTGTCTTAAGTCACAAAAATAACTTTGAGAGTTATTTTTATATATTCCTGTTTCAGAGTTGAGAAATTAGAGTCAGGAATTGCTGCCTCTCATTTTACACAGTTGGCCAGGTGGTGTTGAGATTCCAAAATTCAAGACGTTGGCACTCATTACACCAACTGCCTCTGCCACTGCCACATTGATGGGGTTGCCAGAAAAGCACCAAAGAAAAAGGGGACATACAGTGTATTACAATGCTAGTATAAAAGAGGGAAACAGTGCCTTCTCAGCTCTCTCCATAATCTTAGCCATGCTAATATTATAGTGCTGGAGACAGAATTCCACCAAATTCTTACATAGAACATAGTATGCTGCAGATTGAATTGTGTCCACCCCTCCCCCATTTAGCCCCAATTTGATGGTATTTAGAGATGAGGCCTTTGGTAGATAATTAGTTTAGATGAGGTCTTGAGAGCCCCTCAGGATGGTACTAGTGCACTTATAAGCAGAGGATCAGATAGCTGAGCTCTCCACCATGTGTGGATGCTCCAGAAGACAGCCGTCCATATACAGGCCAGGAAAAGAATCCTCACCAGGAACTGAATCAGCCATCACCTTGATCCTCGACTTCCCAGCTCCATAACTATGAGAAGTAGATAGCTGTTTAAATGAACTATTCCATGAACTTTTTGCCTTAGCAACTAATGCATATTTTGGTACTAAGAAATGGAATGCTGCAGTAACAAGTACCAAAAAATGTGCAAGTGTCTTTGAAAGTGTAATGGGGTAGACTGAAAGAGTTTTGAGGTACATGCTAGAACTGTGGCTGTTAGGGTTGATTTTGGTGAGATCACAGATGGAAATGAGGCACATGTGGAAACTGGGGGAAAGGCCATCCTTGCTGTAGAATGGTAGAGAACTTGGCTGTAGTATTTTGTAAAATAGAAAATTTGCATGTTTAACTGGGAGATTGCTAACCAAAGTGTTGGATGAACAGCTTGATTCCTCCTGACTGCTTGTAAGAAAATATGAAAAGAGGGAGGAGAATTGAAGAAGGAATTCTTAAGAAAAAAGGATAAGAACATAAAGTTTTTAAAAATTCTGAGGGGTCTCCCTGGTGGCGCAAGGGGTTAAGTCTCAGCACTATGAAGATATCTGTAGCCACTGCAACACAAGTTCAATCCACCGCCCAGGAGATGACCCACATGGAGCAGCACATCTCACCTGTCTCACCCGCTTCTCCCCTCAGCAGTGTATTTCAGTCAATCTGCCCATTCTGCTCCCCACTCTATCTCTGGTGAATCCTCTCACTCCCCAGCTCCTCTGGCCTGCACCCCAGCTCTTGTATGCATAAATCTTTAAAAAAAAAAAAAAAAAACCTACAAAATTTTAAAAAAATAAAAAATTCTCAGCCTATTTCTAGTGCAAAAAGTGAAATCTTGTTCCAAAGAGAGCTCTAAGGGTGTGGCTGAGCCACCATTTGATATTTGATAAGAGATCCTGGGTGTAGCAACTCAGGAACTTAATCATCCATTTCAACAGAAGCCAGGAATAGAGATGGGATTGTACCAGCCAAGACTCTACTGGGTGAACTAAAGAGAACAGAAAAAAGCAGAGTAAACAAAGGCAGCTGTCAGACTTCTTAGATCCTCTAGAAGCAGGGCATTCGGCCACTCGCTTGAAAACATGAGTGTTCTTCCACAAGAGAAGGAGGCCTCAGAAGATCTCCCTCTCAGTTTCAGCTTGGTAGATGGTGTCTGGCTAAAGCCTTATGGGCAGGGCCACCCTGACCCTTGGGAGCAGAACTGGAGGACCACCACCCCACTGGAAGGCATAGCTTGAAACCAAAAGGAGGATCCTTTTTTTTTTTTTAATTGTATCTTTTTTTTTCTTGAGTTAACATTGGTTTACAACAGTGTATATGATTTAAAGGAATAGGTTCACACCTCTTCAGATGTCTTTTACCACACCCTACTTACCAACAAAGCACCCATAATCCTCTACCATTGTCCAGTGGGTCACCATCCCCCTTTATTCCCTTCCCTTCCCCTCTTCTGGTAGCCTCAGTTCTATAGTCAGACTTATAGGGTTTGTTTTGATTTTATTTAATCTGTCCTTTGTTTTGTTTCTCTATATTCTGCATATAAGTAAGTCACCAGATATTTGTCTTTCTCCTTCTGACTTATTTTGCTTAGCTATAATCTTCTCTAGTTCCATCCATGTCACAAATGACAAGAGTTCCTCTTTTCTTTTTTTATTGCCAAATAGTATTCTATTGTGTGTGTGTGTGTGTGTGTGTGTGTGTGTGTGTGTATCACCACATCCTCTAATGCACTGTTCTGTTGATGGGTATATAGGTTTTATATATAACTTGGGTATTATAAATAGTGCTGCAATGAATATAGAATGCATATATCCCTTTGAATTAGTGATTTTGCACTCTTTGGATGGATACCTAGGAGTGGAATTGCTCCTAGAACTGTTTTTAATATGGTAGATCTGTTTTTAATATTTTGAGAAACCACCAGAGGGGCTGGATCAGTTTATGTTCCCATCTAACAGTATATGAGGGTTCTTTTTTCCCCCATATATGAAGAGGATTATCCTTAATGTTTAAAATGTAATGGAATTTGCCTTGCTGAATTTTGGTCTTGCTTGAGACCATCACCCCTTCTTTCCAATTTCTTGCTTTTGGAGTAGAAATGTCTCCTATGCCTGGTCACCACTGTGTTTTAGAAGTAGATAACCTGTCTGGTTCTACAGTTTTCACAGCTGCAAAGGTATTTTGCTTCAGGATGAAGTGTCACCAGTATGATCTAGATATTTACTGAGATTTTGGACCTTAGACTTTAGAGTTGATGCTGGAATGAATTAAACTTTGGGGACTGCTGGGATAGAATAAATGTATTTTGTATGTGAAAAGGACATGAACTTTGTAGGATCAGGATGGAATGCTATGGACTGAATTGTGTCCCTTTGTTATTCATATATTGAAGTTCCAGCCCTACCCATTGTTAGGGGGAAAAGGATGTCCCAAAGCTAATTCCATATAGGCTTTGTGGACTCCACCCCCACCCTAGGTCAAAGTCAAAGACACTGGGAACTCCAAATCCCATTATCACCAAAGGGAAGGTGGCTGGGACCTGAGGGTGGGGTTAAACAGCCAGGTGGATATAAAAGGCAGACACATGGGCTTTGGGGATCCCCCATTTTGGCTCTCCGCCAGCTCGCAGCGTCCGGCCAGCTCTGAGAGTGACTTTGGGTTTCCAGGTCGTCGGATCAGGTAGGACGCATTAAAGACTTTATTTCCCTATTTTCTCCCTGAGTTGTACATTTTCTTTATTTCCTTTTCTCTTGTAAATAAACGTTTTATTAACCTTTTGTGTGTGTGTGTAGTAGAGTATTCATAAGTCCCTTTAAAGTGTGCGGGTGAGGACCCACAGCCAGGAACCCGTTTTAATATCGTGGGTTGCTCTATAACACCATGACCTCATCTAACCAGAATTGCTGACTAAAGGCCCTAGCTCCAAAGATCATCACACTTGGAGTTAGAGCTTCAATATATAGACTTCAGAGGGACACAGTTCAATCCATAGCAAGTGCTATTTCCATGCCTCAAATTAAGTGGGTTGGACTTAATGACCTTTTCTCACCCTCCAAATACTCCTGCCACTCCCCAAATCAGAAATCAGGTCCATTTATAAAATGACATGTTGCCTAATGTCAGCCCTTCATCCTGTGGCCACCAGCCCATCCTTGAACACTGGCTCTACCCTGCTCTTGTTTTTTGATCTTCCAATGGTGCTCAGACCTTTTCTCTGATCTTTGTTTTACTTTAATCCTCCAGAGGATTTTGCCTCTGAAACAAAAGGAGTTGTTCTTAGCAGCATGGCTTTTGAAATGACTGAGATATACACAGTTCCTAGTTCCAGGAATCCTTGTCTCTGCACTAGCCCAACTCAGGATCAAAATGAGAGTAACAGGTCCTAGCAGCACTGTTGGTGGTCATCAGAGCAAGGAAGTAAATAATCTCCAGCATTGCTGTTCTCAAGCTCAAGCTCCTTCTTAGCCAAATATCCAGCAAATTTCTTAAAGAGGTGATGCACCAAGAGTATTCCATTGTGTGTCCCACCCCTAGAAGTCAGAGTCTCCCTCTTACTCTGTACAAAAGAACACTACACCTCCGTATATGAGTGAGTGTCTGGATGTATAAGTGGGTGTATAAAAGAGAAGTTGACTAAGTGATTCACTGAGAGAATAATAGAAATATTCACTCTATGTATTTTTATAATTTAATGAAAGTTTTGGTAACAAAATCCATCTCTGGAAGACACATTCAGGAAACAACTGTGGGATGCAAGAAAGAGGTAAAAGTGGGGGAGAACTAGAGCTACAAGATAAAAATGGACAAACCACCATAATTTTAAATTTCTCAATTCCAAACTTTTAATAACACTTTTGGGGTCTGGTCTGAAATTTACCTTGCCTTAGAAAACTTTTTTTTTTTTTTTGGTAATAGCAATATAAATGCGTTCACAAGGGAGAAATTCTTAATGGAGGAGAACTTTTTCAAGACATCTTTAAGAACTTTAGAAATACCCATTACTTTAGTAAAAATATTTGTGATGTGAATTATAAAGCATTAAGCATAATACAAATCCAAAATTATATAAGGCAATTCCCATGCTTTATGGCAATTCTGATATATGCATTAAAACTGATCCAGGAACCTCCTACCACACAAAAAAATATAGTTCATTTTCAAGCATTTTCTACTTTACATATGTTAAATCTATGCCTAAAATGGTGAGATTTTATCAAGTTTTAATGCTTGATAAACATGAATAAGCTACAAAATAAAAACTAATGTGTCATTAACTGTGTCAAAACATGTTTTATTTGGTTACTTTTAGAATCCCTTCATAGTGATATTTGCTTTAGAAATAATTAGGAATACTAAATTAATTTCTATATCTCTATAAAATATCTTTTCAGGAACTGAAGTGAAAAAAATCGAAGCTATAAATGTGCCTTGCACACAGCTTTCAATGTCATTTTTTAATCGATTATATGATGAAGGTATTGTGCGAGACAATGGACATATCGTTAAATGTCTAGACTCCTATTGTGATCCTTTTCTTATTTCAGATGAATTACGAAAAGTAAGTACAGAATTTAAATTTTTCACAGTAGAATTTGGTTTCAGGAAATCTTAAGGTCAAAAGGTTTACCAAGCTAAAGTCCATAAAATGCCTCTAATCAATAAATCAGTACTTATTTGTGTCAGTAGTAGTCATTACATCAGTGGATTTCTTCTTGAATGGTACTTTTACTTTGATATTCACATTTTTCCCAAGTCCTCAACCAGGTGCTGTGACACCTAAGGGCAGAGGCCGGGGCGTGGCTCTGTTCAACATGGTACAATACACAGGAAATGCATCTCAGGGCTATGAGGCCAAGATAACTAGGTGCTAGTGGAAGAACTCTGGCATTTCTAAGTAATGGCTGTTTTTCTTCAAGGTGGGGCTTTTAACATATCAAATGAAATTTTTTCTATATTTTTTTTATTGAAGTAACTTATAAAATACACGTTTCAGAGGTACATCATTATGGCTCAACATCTATATGTACTATGTTAAGTTTACCATTATTTGGACGGTTTCACTCAATAAAAGCATTAAAAATTTGAACTTGGCAAAAAGAAGATAATGGTTATCAGAGAGAATAGGGTAAAAAGTGGGGGGAGTCGAGGAGGGAGGCACATGGGGTATGGGCACTGGTGGTTTGGTGGAGGGAAAAAAAAATGTTTATCATTACATGTCCAATCAAATGAATATTTAAAAACATCCCTGGAGTAAAAGAATGTTTTAATCTCAGTGCTGAGATCATAGCCATTTAATTTACTCAGTAATTTTTGTGTTAGTGAGAGGTATACTGAACTAGGAATCAAAAGACACAATTATTTATCTAATTCTTCATTTATTGTTTATGAGATAATACCAAACTTTTGGCAAATCATTGATTATTTTGAGTCTCAAGATCTTATCTGTAGGGCCTCCTGGTGGCACAGGCAGTTGAGCGCCACACTGTGAAGCTGTCCGCAGCCTCTACAGCGTGGGTTCGATCCCGGCTGGCCGGCAAGAGTCCCACATGGCGTGGCAGACCTCTCCTATCTCGCCTGCTGTTCCCCTCAGCAGTAAATTTTGTCAGTCTGCCTGTTCTGCTCCCCGCTCTGTCTCCGGTGAATCTTCTCACTCTCCCGCACCTCTGGCCTATACCCTGGTCTTGTATAAATAAATAAATCTTTTTAAAAAAATAAGATCTTATCTGTACAACCTAGAGATTAAAAGACCCATTCTACCTTCCTTGAGAAATGGAAAAAAAAAATGCATTTAATATGCTTTTTTAAAAAAGTGTGAAATGCTGTTATAGTGAAGTATAGTATTATGATCATTAGTTTAATTAAGAAAGAGTATAAAATGGCAAAAAATGGGGACTTTGGTGTCAAATAGGTTTAAATTCAGGCCCTGCCACTTTAATAATTGTGGTACAAGCTTCAGTTTCTTCATTTATAAAATAGACACAATATAAGAATTATGAGTGGATGCATTTGAAGTACTTAGCACAATACCTGGTACTTACTAAACTTTCAATAATATTAATAGCTACTGTACTATTTGATACCATTGTACATTGAGAGAAAGGAGATGGACAAATCTTACATATTTCAAGTTCAGATAAGAATAAATTAGGGAAGTGACTGAGGCACCGTTCTGGACACAGAAATCTTGTCTGTAGACCAGGAGGGATCCAACCAGGCTCAGACTATGTGTTGTTCTACACTTAGATAATACATAAAGGTGCTCTTAGTTTAAGAAGAAAACAGAAGAAGAAAATTGAGAGCAATCAAACTCACACAGTGGATGAGACTATATATGACTTGCTCTTTAGTTAAGTGAAGTATATTTCTGTGTAACACAAGATAATATAAATAATGGTCAGCGGGGATCTGATAGTAATTTCTATTCCTTCTCCAAGATTGGAATCGAACATTTAGAAAGTTTCTGGTATAGTCTGAGTTCCCCTCCTTTCAGGAGCTATTTAATCTCAGCTCTCCTTTCTGTCACTGAGCTCAGATCTAAATTGGCCCTTATCCCTCATTTCTGAGCTTTCACTGTCCCTTCTACAAAGAGAGCCTCATTAATAGACTTGTTTTGAGGAGGATTTGCTTCAGCAGAGTACTCCGCAGAACTCCTGCTGCTGTCAGAGTTATTTATTGCTCCAAGAGCACCTCTATTCAGGAAGTGCTGAGCTGCCCTGGTTTTTTTCCATTTGCCTGTATGTTTTGCTCTTCTGTTCATTGCCACTTTGCAGCAACAGGGAGGGTTTTAACTTGGTTGCTTTCTGACTGAAAAAATAATTTCCAGCCTTAGCCTGAACTGAAAAGGGCCCCCTATTGTGCAGCAACAGATTCTATTGGCGCCTGGTGCAGTGTTAGTGCTGATAATCAGGCCTTCCTGACTGCACTCAGAAATCTTGCCTTTAACCCTTGCAGACTGCTCTCCCAGTCTACAAATCTATACATGAATAGATGGGGAGAGGGTTGGAGAAAGCTACTACTTTAACATTCATTCCTAATCTTTTTCAGTTAAGGTAGGTAGTTTTAAGATTGCTAAGCCTAATCAATTCAGCACATGAGCATGCTCAAGGAAGGAATGTGTTAGCTATTCATTCCTAAGGGCTTTAGTCACCCTTTTGTATTAAGCCAGATCTTCAGGTAGCTGCAAAACTGGGCTTCAGTATCACAGAGTTTCTTCTGGGGTGGGGGTGGGAGGGGAGATGATGAGATGGTAGGAGGAGTGGAAGGGAGGAAGAGTCTCAGGTGTTACAGGTGGCACTTCCAGAGAGCAGTAATAATATATATAACTTTGACTTTCATCAAGTCACTACAAGTAAACAGTATCTACCATAGAATTCATTATTTTTTTAAAAATATCTCTTACATAATGACCTTGGGATGACTTTTCATTTGAGATTGAGGCATATGAAATGTTAACCTGCATTAAATTTCCTAATTAAGTGTACTTTTTGCAATTAGGCTGTTGTATAACTCATATTTCCCTCCTTCACCTGTGTGGTAGTGTTAAGTGTTGTCTTAATTTTTATAGCTTTGCTCCTTCTGAAATTCCTTATTGTGTGAACCCTCTCTTGCTGCCTTATTTCTTGGTTACAACTTTTTTCCTTTTATAATTTTTATCTTACTCTGTGTATCTATATTTTATTGTTCATTCTTTTTAAAGTACGCGGGGTATAAACAATTCACTAACAGTTATATTAGAGTGTACATTCATGGCCTGCTCATCACCGCCACCAGCAACAAATCAGTCAGTTGTCTGCAGTGCCCAGTGGCATGCGGAAGTCATTTGCATCCTCCTAGTCAAACTAGGAAAGAGGTAGCAAGATCTCAAGAGAGCAAGAGTCACTGTAGATTGGTGAAGTGTAAGGTCATGTTATTAGGAGAATGTGGGAAAGAAAGGGAGGTGGTTGCGAGGCTCCAGTTCCCTAAGTAGTTCAAGATGGACTTCCTCAGGGAACAAGAAAGAGAGTGGTCCAAACACTGTGAGGTGGGAGGGCTTACAAAATGGAGTGAAGCAGTTTCTCCACCTACTTATGCTCCCTTGTTTCCAAGTAAAATTCAAGGTGACTATACATTAAAATTTCAGTAGAACGAACACAATTACAAAAGTATAAACTATTAATAGAACAAAAAAAAAACCAAGAATAGAGTTAGATTTAGACCCATTCTCTTCATTTAATGTCAGTACCCAGTGATGAAATGGAGGGAAAATAAGAGCAGGTCTAGCAGATCACTCTGGTATCTCAGGATTGCTTCTTAACATAGGTCTAAGATTATTTTTAAATATAAAAAATGAGCCTTTTAAAAACATAAAAATTAAAACCTCAAACTTTGTTACACTAAGAAGAGTTTTTTCATCTTACATAGGTTTTATTAGTGGAAGACTCAGAAAAATATGAAATCTTCAGCCAACCAGAGAGAGAAGAGTTCCTGTTTTGTCTTTTCAAGCATCTTTGCCTTGGTGGAGCCCTTTGTCAATATGAAGATGTGCTTAATCCCTACCTGGAAACTGCAAAACTTATCTATAAGGATCTAGTGAGGTATTGTTGCTAGATTACCTTGTGTATGTGACTGGTTAATACAGTTCTTATTTAACTATGATGGGATTACCCAGCATCTGTTGGTGCTCATGTTATCAACGGAAGTGTGTTAAGAGCCCAGAGGACCCCTTTTCAGAGCTGCCTCTTTCTCTTCCAGGCTAGAAAGTTTCTAGATTTCCTGGCCTTCATTTAGTCCCCGTGTTATAGGGTAGCCCCAATACAAAACAGGTTGCCTGATTGTGGGTCCTCACCCGCGCGCTTAAAAGGAGTTATCAATACTCTACTGCAGGCACACACCAAAGGTTAATAAAAGGTTTATTTACAAGGGAAGGGCAAATGAGGAAATGTACAACTCAGGGAGAAAAGTGGGAGACAAAGTTTTAAATGCGTCCTACCCTATCCACCGATCCGGAATCCCAAATCGTACTCTGAGAGCTGGCCGCAAGCCAGAAGCCTTGAAGCCAGGAGGCGAGCGAGAAAGCGAGCCCCCCCAAGGCCCACGTGTTTGGTTTTTTATACCAACCCTGGCTGCTTAACTCCACCCTCAGGTCCCTGCCACCTTCCCTTTGGTGGTGACAGGATTTGTCTTTCCCTGTGTCCTGATGGCTTTGGTCTGGAGTAGGGGTGGAGTCCACAAAGCCTGTATGGAATTAGCTCAGAAAATCCTTTCCTCCTAACACTCGGTCACCTCGTTCTTCATCTGCCTCTGCTGCTTGTTTCAGACCTGTGACCTACTCTGTCTCCTGTTAGCAGCTGCCACCTTCCTGGTCTCCTTTTTTCCATAGACTGACTTTAAATCTCAAGGAACATGAGATCCCTCAGGATAGTTTAATTTGCTTAACTAGTAGTAAAAACAAATATTGCAAATGTTCTAAAGAGATGAGAGAATTGTCATCTAGATGCAACCTTTACTTTTCACATTAATCCCAAAGCTATATGGTTTGTTTCAGGTATTTCACTATCAATTTTTTTTTTTTTTTTTGAAGATCAAGTGAGGATAAAAAGTTTACAAGTCTCATATGTATACTTTTAATTTTACTGAAGTGGACATTCTTTGGTTGGACTTTTCAATGATGAAGGTATTGGATCATCTTTGTAAAGGGACAAGAGAAAGCATGGGATCCCAGGGTTTTGTTATAAAGTTTTATTCTAAGGAAAACAACAGAATTAGCTTTATCAGACCTTTGATTGTTACTTTATACTCAACACCTCAGTTCTCGGTATCATTCCATAATGTTTCATAGAAACAATTTCAGAAAAACCATACACATGCCTACATCAAGCATTTTTTGTGCTAATCATTCACAGCTTATGAGAACTGACAATACTGCTTCTAGCACTTCTTGTAAATCCTCTTCCATATACCTCCCTCCCACACACACACACACACACACACACACACAGACATGCAAGTACGTGTGCATCACCAAACAGAGTGCTGTGCCTCATCAGCCACATGAACCTGTAGAATTCCTCACTATCATGCTGTGGAGAAGGAGATTCTGTTGGAGATATTTGATAGAAATAACTTGAGACCCTAAACATTAAAGACACTGGTGTTTACCTCAACATTCCCTTCACTGATTCTCACCTGTGATTCTCTTCTACACTTCTTGGGTGCTAAGAAAAATATTATTTAGAGAGTGATGGCCACTCATAAAATGAGTAGCCAAAATGCATGACATCTTACAGAAAGAATGGGAATGATGTTCATAGAATCACTTCTGCAGGTGACCAGTGAGTGTTAATACTGTGTACAGAATTCTGCCAAGCTTTGAAGAGACTTTAAGGTTTCAACCCTCAGGAAATTGCAACAAACCAGCATATTAGATAATAGTAATTATTCACAATTGTTCTCAGTCTTTTTTAAGTAAAATCATATAATCAAATGTTAGCAGCTCTTTGTACTATAGTAAACACCCTGCAAGTTCGCAAGAGGAGGTTGTTCCTATGTGGGTGTGAACAGTCAGAGAGTCTTGATGGAATGAGTGGCCAGCCAAGAGAGGGGTCAGTTGCTGGGTGGGAGGGGACTGCATCACAGGTGCCATTATGGGAGGCCACAGGGAATCAGCCTAGTTACAGCAGGTTCCTTTTTTTTTTTAAAGATTGATTGATTGATTGATTGATTTATACAAGCACTGGGTACAGTCAGAAGCGTGGGAGGGTGAGAGAATTCACCAGAGCCAGAGCTGGGAACAGAGCAGGCAGACTGACGAAACACACTGCTGAGGGGAGCAGTGGACGGCAAGAGAGGTCTGCGTGCCATGTGGAACCCTGGCTGGTGGCTGGGGATCGAACCGGCGCTGCAGAGGCTGCGGGCAGCTTCGCAGCCCAGTGCTCAACTGCTGCGACACCAGGGGAGGTCCAACAGCAGGTTTCTTCCTTGAGAACATTATAATCCAAGCTCAGGCATGCTGATGATTTCTTTGCTGAATGGAGGGGGATATTAATTTGGCTTTCCAAAGCAACTTCAATATTTGGTTAAGATGAGTTAGGTGCCAGCACAAAGCAACTGAAGGTATTTAATGTGACTCCTCTTCCTTAAGAGTGGTATTGCTCTGCTTATCGCAAGCACTATTCATGTTTTTTCTAATACTAGTCATGCTGATTTGAATCCTATGCTGTGTCGTTTGATTAAGGTTATGGCATATAGAGGTGAAGATAAAGGGTGCATCAATGTAATATTTATGGAGGAATATACAAGTAGAGGAAACATAGTCTGAACTTGAAGAATCATCATTAATTTCTCAGAATTCTCAACGACATATCCTGTCAAATCGTTTGTCCTTGCCGACCTAATGAAGGATATTTTTTTTCTATTCACTCACTTGAATTTTGGGTGTTTTTCTATGCTTTTGAAAAATGTCTGCTGTCTTTCTACCTATATGTGCAGTGGTTGCTGCTTGACAGTATGTAGCAGATTAGCCTTTATAAACACTAATCCATTCTAGGAAGGGAGTCCAGCCCTTACGTAAATTCCTAAATATATTCCTAAATATCCCTAAAATATTTTCTCCTTCATCCATTAATATGTCCTGTAAAATATATCATTTAAATATTTTGGAAAATGTCTTTTCAATGATTACAGTTCCTTTAGATCAGGTAAGCAGTATTTTAGTACCTTTTTTTTTTTAACAAATGATCATTTCATTCCATTTCAAAAATGTCCATGCAGAAACAGTTATATGGTTAATAATGGTGCCTGTGTCTTTTCTCTTTTAGACATTAAACACATGCTCTTGTCAATGTTTTTGGAGAGATTTCCCAACTACATATCTGCTCCACATGTGAAATTTTATGATCTGAACTAAGAAGTTCAGATTATGGCATCTGATGCTAATTAAGAATGGGATCTTTATTTCTTAAGATGAGCAGAGTTACCTAGAATAGTCTGTATACCATTGTGTTTAGAATCAACATAGGAATATAGCCTCACAAATTATCACAATGATACAAGTAAGAAAACATTCATATTACTTTCTAAACCATTAATATAATCACACTTTTTGAGAGAACTATATGAAAATTATGGTCTAGCATCCTTAAAAACCATGGTTACCTGGAGAATAAGTTACTGACTACCTGAACTCCTAATGACTTACTGCAGTTCTTTTTTTAAAAAGATTTATTTTTACTTATTTATGCATACAAGAACTGCGGTGCAGGCCAGAGGTGTGGGGGTTGGGGTGGTGAGAGGATTCACCAGAGACAGAGTAGGAAGCAGAACAGGCAGCTCGACTGATATCTACAGGAGAGGTCTGCTGCGCCATGTGGGTTAGCTCCCTGGCCAGGGATTGAACTCAGGCCTCAGTAGCTGGTGATAGCTTGATATCACCACCAGGAAGACCCAGAAAATGATTCTTAATATGATATAATTTAGCAATCATAATTTAGAAAACAATTTTCATGTACTTTATTCTACTTATTCTCATATAGTCCTAAAAGGAACCATATTTTGCCCAGCTTACGTATGAGAAAATTGAGGTTCAGAAAGGTTAATCTTGCCCAATATAAGGTAAGTCAGTAGCAGAATAGGCATTTCTGTTTAGGTTGTTTACTTCTTTAGTTTACTATCCTTATCTATCCTTTAAAGCTGTCTGTACTTCAATCTGTAATTTACCAATTCCAGTTTTTCCAGTCACTGTCTCTGGCCTGGGAATCTTTCATCTTCTGAATCTCAGACTGACCTCAAACCTACTAACTATAAAATTCAATTTTATGCAATTTCAATTCAGGTGAACTTGCTCTATCCTTGGATGAAACTATAGATGCTATTATAAACCACTTAGTTGGGTATTATATATTTTCATATTATATTTGAATAAGAACCTGCACACTAAAAAGGATCAATATTATAAATGTATCACACTAATGCTTGATATATATAAAGCATACCCTTTTTCCTCCCCTCTTTTAGTGTTCGAAAGAATCCTCAAACCAAGAAAATACAAATTACCTCTTCTGTCTTTAAAGTTACAGCCTATGTAAGTGTTGAGGGAAATGTACAACTAATTGATTCAATTACATGTTATTAAAATGGTTCTTACAAATGGAGTTAAAACCAGGATGATGTTATGACTAGGAAAAAAGATTATGTTTAGTTTTTTGTTATAATTAAATGTTAATAGGACATGTTTTTATTTGGAGAACAATATGAACTCTCCAGCTTCCTTTCTGCCCTCTGTATCTAGGAATAGTCCTTATTGATGTTAGTTTGTGACTTGACTGGAACAGAGTTCTCTTTGTCAAATCATACTTTACAGGGCAAATAGCTAAAAATGCCAGAAATGCTTTTATGTCACAGCATCTGAGACATGAATTTTAGCATCATACAAAAATTATTAGTACATATAAAGCAGTTTCTAAGTATCTTCAATCATTTAACATTGTTGAATAGCTACAGTGTATAAGCTGCTGTGCCAGATGAGGGCACAATTATAAATAAAAGCAGTCCTTACCCTGTAATGCCTGTGGACCGTGTTCTAAAAGAAAGCTGAGCCAGAAGAATATTGAAAAATAGAAATTTTTGCAATATTTGTACTCTAAAAGCACTTTCCCAAAAGATGAAATTTACCTCTAGACTATAAATTCTTTTTTTTTTAAGATTTATTTTTATTTATTTATGCATACAAGAGCTGGGGTGCAGGCCAGAGGCGCATGGGGTGAGAAGAGTCACCAGAGACAGAGCGGGGAGCAGAACAGGCAGATCCACTGAAATGCACTGCTGAGGGGAGTAGCAGATGAGACAGGAAAGGTCTGCTGAACCATGTGGGTTAGCTCTCTGACTGGGACTGAACTCATACTGCAGTGCTGGAGGTAGCTTGACAGCCCTGAGACTCCAACCCCAGCACCACAGGGAGGCCCCTGGCTATTAATCCTTAAAGTTAAGAATTATGCATGTGTGTATGGGACATACGTATTGTTAGCATAGTCAACTGTGCTGTTAATAAATATTTCACGGGCCTCCCTGGTGACACAAGGGAGCACTGCACTATTATGAAGCAATCCACAGCCTTTACAACATGAGTTCGATCCCCGGCCAGCCAGGGAGCAACCCACATGGCGGAGCAGACCTCTCCTGTCTTGCCCGCTGCTCCCCTCAGCAGTGTATTACAGTCAGTCTGGCTGTTCTGCTCCTCGCTGTCTCTGGTGAATCCTCTCAATCCCCCCGCCCTGCCCCGGCATCTCTGGCCTGTATCCCTGTTCTTGTATGCATAAATAAATATTTAAAAAAATAAATATTTCACAATACTAGTTAACTGCCAGTTTATGTAATGAATAATAGTTAAATATTTAATTAGTATTGAATGCAGTTGGATATGAAATAACTGAGGTTTGTCTTTTTCAGGATTCTGTGGGTGTGTGCTACCCTTCAACAACCAGCCATGAACAGACATTTTCTTACTTCATTGTGGACCCTATCAAGCGCTACCTTCATGTTTTATACCATAGCTATGGGGTGGGGGAAATGTCTCAACAGTAGTTTTCCAGATTGTTTATTTACTGTTTTTTTATTTACCAGTTTTTAAATTTTACTGCTAGTTCATAGAAAGACATTGACTTTGCAAGTTAATTCAAATAACATGTAAGGAATCTCTTAGAACATAAGAAAACCAATACCAAGATGGCTGTCTTGAAATTTGTCTGGAACACTAACACAGGAAAAATTCCATCCCAAATGCAGTCTATACCAATACAGCTGTGGAATTTTTACAGAAAATTACAAAGAACTCAAAGTATAATTCATATTTGTTGCACAAAGAGTCAAGGAGTCCTTAATTTTCCATGTATTTGAGTTTAGAAGCTAATTCATTCTCAATTGAAATTATGGTAGAAAACTAAACCTCTCTACCTAATATGAATTATTAACTTTTTAAATTTGAGTTTTAATTACAATTCTTCATTGCATAATGACTGACATTTCTAGGCCTGTAAAAGAATATTCCTTTGCTTCATTTGTTCCACTTAAAATCTTCAATAAAAAAATGATGTTCTGGAAGTAAGTATAAACTCTTCTATCACGTAATAAATTAAAACTGCAGCTTCCCCTCAGCTAGTATAAGAGCTACATGTTAACATGTGTACAGAGAGAAAATTGTCCTGATGATATTAAGTTGGCAGAAGGGTAACGTGCAGAGTCTTTTAATACTGTCCCCTCATTAGATTCTTAAAATGAGTATAATAGGTGGTAGAGAACTACAGAAATGTGGAGTCTTTTCAGAGAGGCAAGAGAGGAATGCATGTTTCTCTGTTGTAGGGATAAGGATGTTAATGTTGGACTTGAACTTGTGGATTTATCTGGAAGGCAGCTGGCAGTTTGGATTTAGAACTCAGGAGAGTTTGTTTTATTTCTAATACTTAAAACAGTGTCTTGGCACATTAAATGTTGAAAGAATGCTTTCCAAATATGTTCATAATATCCATAGCTTTTTAAAACATCATATAAAAAACATCAAATTAAGAACTAACATGCTCAGGCCTCCCTGGTGGCCCAAGGGGTTAAGCCTGTACACTGTGAAGCTATCCACAGCCTCTGAGTTCGTTCTCTGGCCAGGGAGCTACCCACATGGCACAGCAGACCTCTCCTGTCTCACCCACTGCTCCCCTCAGCAGTGTATTTCAGTCAATCTGAAATACATTCTCAATCTGAAATATGTTCTCAATCTGAAATACGTTCTCAATCTGAAATACATTCTCAAAGGTTGATTGATTGCCTAGTATGTGTTAGACACTTTCGAGGCACTGCAGATACAGCAATGAATAAAACAACAAATTTTTCTATACTCAGAAACTTACATACTAGTGCCCATAATAGTACTAGGGACAGTAAGAGTTAGATAAAACTATCCAATTACTCTCAAGAAATTTGATTATGTTGGAGACCTGACAAAGTCAAAATTTTTTCTTCAATTTGATGGGTGTGAAAAGGTATCTGTTATTTAAATGTTCTTTTTGAATGCCATCAAGTAAATATCTTTTTTAAGATATATTTTTTTTATTTATGCATACAAGAACTGGGGTGTAGTCCAAAGGTGCTGGTGGGAGGGGTCAGAGGATTCACCAGTGACAGAGTAGGGAGCAGAACAGGCAGACTGACTGAAATACACTGCTGAGGGGAGCAGCGGGTGAGACAGGAAAGGTCTTCCTTGCCATGTGGGCCAGCTCCCTGGCGGGGATCTAACTTGGGCTGCAGTGGCTGCAGATAGATTCATAGTGCTGAGACTTAACCCCTTGCGCCACCAGGAAGGCCCCATCAAATAATATCTTGAGAATGTATATTGATTCTGATGGGCAACTCCAGGGCTGTGGATCACTGCTGTACTTTCTACTTCTCTAGTTTGAAAAAGAGAAAGAATAAGTGAAAACAAAAGAACACTAGAAAGAGTAAAAGACAAGGGTGTATGCTGTCCTACAGTAAAAGCTGTGTTAACACTAAAAGCTGCATTTAGTACTGTATTTAGCAGTGTCCAACTGGCAACTGCTAGCAGCTGCCAACCTGATATCCCCTAGTGTAAGTCTTCAGTCTCCTGGCTTGGCACATGTGTTGGTGCCATTCACTGGGGCTAGGTAGGCTAAACTGGTTATTTTAAATAAGGTTGGAACTTAGAATTACTGCATGTGTGAAGGTCCTGAGAGGAGAATGTATGCAGTGAATTGTAGGAACTGAGATGAGTTACTGCAGCGGGAACACAGTGGGCAAAAAAGAGTGATGTGAGTTGAAGTTGGGAAAATAATCATGTGAACCTTTAGGTCAATGTCAGTACCAGGCTTACACCAGCAGGGGGACCTGGGGTGGTGGTCGCTTCCACCCAAAGATGAGTCACTTCCGCCCAAAAAGTGGAAGCTGATGCAACAGTAACCGGATGTTGCAAATCCACGTAAAGCGCATGCGCAGGCTTTCTGAGATATATATATATATATATAGCCCCTCCCCTTGAATAAAGAGAGTTCCTGCAGCCATCCATGTGAGTAGAAGTGTATTTTCATCCCCAGCCCCTCCGCCGTGTTCCTGAACCCCGTCGGCCTGCAGGCAGGACCGGCAAGTGGCGCCCAACGTGGGGCACGAGTACGAGGGATCCTCTGAGGGACCGATCAATCAGTAAGGTAAGGATTAGGTAAGTGATCGGCATCATGGGCAATACCATGTCCAACGGCCAACTTGTTAGAGCCCTACAACTTCTGCTTAAACATTATGGAACTCCCATTAAGGTTCAGACCCTTCATGATCTAGTCTCAGTCTTCGCAAATACCAGCAAATGGTTCTTTCAGCAGGACACCGTCTCAGTAAGAAACTGGGAAAAGGTCAAAGCAGACTTCCTTCTTTACAGGGACCTTTATGGACCCCAAACTATCCCCCCCCCCCCCGTATTTTTTCTGTGTGGCAGCTAGTCCATGATGCCCTTAGTGATGGGGGAGCAGCTGCTTATGAACTAGTGGCTGAGGTATTGCACTCTGCAGCTCAGTTCGAAAGCAAAAAGCCTGCCACATACTCGGCCGCAGCAAGCTCAGCCACAGAAACCCCCCCTTCTCAATCCTCAAATCCGGGGAGAGATTCCTCTTCAGACGAGGGGAATGTGGAGGACAATACAGACTATCCACCTCCCCATGATAGACCACCCCCATCAACCAAAAATCGGCGGCATCCCTCCCCCCCCCACTCTCACCTCTGCCCCTCCACTCAACTCCCATGGCTCTGACCCAGACCTTCCTGGGCTTATATAGTCCCTAACTTCTGTTCTTTCAAGATTTGTACCCTCCAACTCTGAAAATTCTTGGGAATCCCTTCTGGCCTGCCCGGTCTCAGTTGTTCAAAATGATCAGGGACAGCAGGTCCGGCAACATTCGGCACTGCCTTTCCAAGACCTCAAGCTCTTAAAAGAATCTATCAGAGACTATGGACTTCAGAGCCCTTTTGTTCACCAAATGTTGGACACCTTTGAAACCTTTATTATGACACCCAATGACTGGAAGGACACTTTCCGCGCGGTTTTGAGCCCAGGGGATTATCTTTTGTGGAAGGGTCAGTTTACAGAACTCTGTGACCAGTATGCTCAAACCAATATTCAAAGAGGTTTTCCCCAACAAACTAAAGAAATGTTAACCGGGGAGGGTCCCAATTATAGTACTAATCAGCAACAATGTTTATATAATCCTGCTGTTTTTGCACAAGTAGCCTTGGCTGCAAAATCAGCTTGGAAGGCACTGGGATCCAGGTGACAGCCTCACCAATCCCTTACAAAAATCCTTCAGGGCCCCTCAGAGCCATTTGCTGACTTTGTAGCTCGCCTTCTAACAGCAGCCTCTCGAATTATGGGTGAGGGCGAGCCTACCTCTATACTAGTCAAACAATTGGCGTTTGAAAATGATCACAAATGGTGCCAGGAGGCCATTCGCCCATGGAAGGATAAACAGGATATTTCTGGGTACATACGCTTGTGTAAGGATATTGACGGGGCTACTGTTACAAGCACCATCATGGCGGCGGCTCTGCAGCCATCAGCCCAGCACCCCCCCTCCTTTGCAACATGATTCATTGGACAATAGTTAATAATCCCCCTTTCCTTTCCTTCTGCCGGTTTCCAGAAAGGGGGGTATTCTCCTGTCATTCTTGTCTACCAATTCCACCACTGGACTTCCTTCTATAGTGTCTTTCAATCTGTCGTTCAACAAACAATCCTCCCTCAATTGTACCTGTCACCTTTCCTCTTGTTGGTCCAGAACCCTCAGCAATTCCTTTGTTGTCATGCGTTTCCCTAAGGTTGTTATTATGCCTGTCAATGTGTCTGAGTCTACTTCTCAGGTAATCATCCGAAATCGATAAGCAGGTCCGGCATTGGTTGTTGGCACCTTTAGTGGTCGGCGGCCTAGATCTATCCAACTTCATACTCAATGCAGATATCAACAACCATCTCGCAGTTGGACTACTCCAGAGTCTCCAGCACCTTTCTCACACAAAATTCCATCAACAACCACCTCGCAGTCGGACTACTCCAGTTGAATCCACAAGTTTCCTTAATACAGGAAGAAATTGACTTACTGACTTTAACTGCTCATGTTCCTTGTATTCCTACCTATGCCTTCATGTGTGTTACAACTGCCATCCTTTTCAACTATTCCTTTCAAGTTCATACCCTTAATGCCTACCTGCGCGGCCCGTGGAACCAAACCTTTCTCAATTTTACTGCACAATTGGCTAATCAAATTCTAACCATTAACAACATCCGTGCTTCAGTACAAAATCCTTGGGGGAAGCAATATCACTCCTAGGTACAATCCTCTTCTGCCTGGAAATCATTTTCTACATCCTGTGGTGCCAGTGGAATAGACGTGGTGCCAGTGGAATAGACGAAAAATCTGCAAGTACCTCTCCAAAACGTGTGCTATTCTCCATTACAGCCCACTGAAAATCCCAGGGTGTGGATAAACATTGCCCTTGACCACCTGTAGGCCAATGACGGGTAAGATGGTGGTGTACCCGTAGCAACCTAAGACAGCTCCACTACCTTACCTAGGATCCTGGTAGTGGGTGGCTATGACGGGTAAGCACGTGAGTACGACTGCCACAACCTAAGACAGGCCCAGTGTGTGTCCCCCCCCCCCCATCAATAAAGTAAAAACGGGGGAGTCAATGCAAGGAGTTTGGAATTTAATGGCAGTGTAATGGGAAACTACTGTAAGGTTTTCAGCAAGGGAATGATGTGTATTTCCAAAAGATCAAAAGATCATTATGACTATTGTATGGTAAGTGCATTTGCGAAGACATGGGAAAGCATCACCATGGTCAGTGAGACATGAAGGCACCTGGGCAGGGATGGTTTCAGTGAAGATAAGTGTCATGGGCCGAATCATATCTCCTCCCCACTCACGCCAAAATCCTAGCTTTCAGCACTTCAGGATGTGGTTATCCTCAGAGATGAGGCCTTTACAGTGGAAATTAAGGTAAAAAATGAGGGCATAAGCCAATATGACTAATGGTATTATAAGAAAAGGGGGTGGGACAGAGCCTTGAAGATGATCACCATCTCTAGAAACCAAAGAGAGACCTTAGAAGAAACCAAGCCTGCTGTCACCTGAATGTCAGACTTCTATCCTCTAGGACTACAAGAAAGCTCATTTCTGTGGTATAGTAGTCTGTGCTACTTTGTTATGGAAATCCTAGCAAACTAAGGGAGGGAAGTGAATGTATTCCAGATGTGTTTTTGGACCCGGAATCAGCATTACTTGCTAATGGATTGAATTGGAGTGGGAGTGATTGAAGAAGTGAAGAATGATTCTGAGGCTCCTACTTATAGAACTTACGGAAGATATCCACTTAAACTATTTGAGGATAGTTTAAGAAACCATCCTATTGAATAAAAGGA